GGGGAGGAAATTGGGAAAGAAATTGAGAAATGTTTGCTTGATTGGGAACTTGAGAAAGTATTTTGCATAACTGTTGATAATGCTAGCTCAAATGATACCGCAATAGGATATATGAGAAGGAAAATAAATGGTTGGAAAGCTGGGGTTCTTAAGGGTCGGTTCCTTCATATGCGTTGTGTTGCTCATATTGTGAATTTGGTTGTGTCTGATGGCTTGAAAATTGTTAATGAGTCTATTACTCGTGTGAGACAAGCTGTAAGATTCATCAAACAATCCCCTTCTAGGTTGGTAAGGTTTAAAAAATGTGTTGTGGAAGAAAAAATCAACTCTAAAAAGTTGTTGTGCCTTGATGTGCCTACTAGGTGGAATTCCACCTTTTTAATGTTGGATGCTGCTTTGGTGTTTGAGTATGCTTTTGAGAGGTACTCTGAGGAGGACCCTCATTATGTGATTGAGTTAAATGAGAGGGAGGGGAAGGGCTGCCCTACTTCTGAGGATTGGGAAACAGTCAGAAGGTTTTCTGAATTTTTACAAGTCTTTTATGATCTTACGTTGCGTGTCTCTGGGTCTTTGCATGTGACTTCCAATTTATTTTTCCATGAATTGGTGAGTGTTGCTGTCCTTTTGAAAGATTTGATGACAAATGATGATGTGGAGATGTGTCTTATGGCTACTAAAATGAAGGAGAAATATGACAAATATTGGGGTGATCCGGAGAAAATAAACATGCTGATTTTTATTGCTATTGTGCTTGATCCTCGTTATAAGTTAGATTATGTTGAGTGGATGTTAATTGAAATTTATGATTCTAAGCATGCATTTGTTTTGGTGAATAATTTGAAAGAGTCTTTGAATGCATTGTATGAGGAGTATCGTGGTTCTTCTGGTGATGTGATTAGGGAGGAAGTGTCCTCAAGTATGGACAGTTCCCAATTTTCTCCCAAACAAAAGAAGCTTCAGGTATTGAAAAGTAAGTATAAGAAACATAAGTGTGAGAAAGATGGAGAAGCAAAAATTGAGTTAGACAAATATTTAGAAGAGGAAACGGAGGAGGAATGTGAAAATTTTGATATTTTGGGGTGGTGGAAGTTTAATAGTGCTAGGTTTCCAACAATTGGAAGAATGGCCCGTGATATACTTGCTGTCTCTATCTCAACAGTAGCCTCTGAGAGTGCATTCAGCACTGGTGGTAGGGTTCTAGACCCATTTAGGAGCTCCTTAACTCCAAGGGTCGTTGAAGGACTTGTTTGTGCTCAAAATTGGCTACGTTCTTCTCCCTTTCCTAATATAGAAGAGTGTTTACAAGAAGTTGAAGATCTTGAAGAAGGTAACATAAAACAACAATTATCATGTTATTTTTTTTCATTATTTCATATATATTATGTAACTTGTTTATTTTTTTTTAATGTTATTAGACTTGAGGAATATGACAATTGGTGGTCAAAACCCGGACTTGGTTGAGCTTGATTGAGAGTTAGCTGCCAAGAATGAAGCTGCCCTATTGATTGAAGACTTGAAGTTTCTGCCAAGAGCCTAAGAATGAAGCTGCCCTGTTGGTTGAACTAGTTCATTTGTGGACTGTTTGTCTGTTTTATTATCAATTCATCATGTGGACTGTTTTGATAGTTTTAAGACTTGTTAAGTTCTTATGTCTCAATGTGGACAATGTGTAAGTGTATTTAATTACTATGGCAGTATGGCTGGACAATTTAGTTACTATGGCAGTATGGCATATGGTTGTGACTTGTGAAAGTTGTATGTTAAAATTTATGCTTTAATTTTGTTCAGGAACAGGTACAAAATTTAGGCCTTAAAAGGCCCAAAATTATATGCCCAATAAAAAGCCCAGATTTTAAGGCCTAATACAGCAGCCCATAAAAATTCGGTTTGGATTGGATTTAATTCTCAAAACCGAATTATTTCGGTTTGGATTGGATTTAATTCTCAAAACCGAATTATTTCGGTTTGGATTGGATTGGATTGAATCCAAATTCGGTTTGGATTCGGTTTCAAAAATCCGAAACCGAAATAATTCGGTTTGGATTCGGTTTGGGGTGTAATCCAAACCGAATACCGAACTTTCACCCCTACTTGGTACAACCCTCTAATACAAAGGCACTCCTTTTTCTGCCTTCTTTTAGATAGACAGGAAATAAATAAAACCTTTAATCTATAAACAAGATATAAGTGAAAAATATATTTAGAATAAGTAACAATGCTAACAAGTAACAACCAATAAAATCATTTACTAAAGTACTCCCTCTATTTCTTTTTTACAATTAGAGGCAACTAATTTTTTCCAAAACATAAGAAAAAGCATAGCCATGTAGAGTCTTGCTTGATTCATCTCAATGAGTGCTTTCAAAATATCAAATTTTATAATTTTACCATCACGTAATAAGAGATATTTAAGGTTACAGATGTGCATTGGCAAATGTGCATAATTAAAAGATAAACAAAAAAGGAATTGGAGGGAGAATTACAAAGTATTTTATTAAATAAGATATGACCTAACCATCTCATCTAAGTTGCTTAACTTTAGGCACACCCTTGAGAGAAAGAATTCTATATTTCCATGTATATCCAATCCAACGTATAAGCCTTAAGAGCTTAGATAGTCATCCAAATGATCATTACCAAAGAAATTGCACTTATAAGACAACACAAATGCACCTTACAAGCCCCAACATTCAACCAGGATAGAGAGAAAGAATTCCAAAAAAATCCATTCCAACGTATAGGCCTTAAGAACTTAGATAGCCGTCCAAATGGTCATTATACAAGATATTGCACCAATAAGACAACACATGTACACCAAAAAAATCCCAATAATCATCCTTGATTTGTACTTAAATCTGATACGTCTTACGCCAAAATATCACCCAAACCAAAGCCTTTAACCAATCCGAACTCGACATAAAATAAATCTACATCAAATGTGAATTTGACTCACTCTCATGGACAACAACCAAAGAAACCACGTACAACTATACTTAGCATCAGTTGTATCTTTCCATCACTAAATCTAAGACTAATAGACTAACAATCAAAACCACACCATATACGCTTCCTTGGGAGCGAGCATAGAAGCTTGTAAGCACCATTTATCTTCAAATATTCTAATTCTACTTGACTTGAAAAAAGCTTTATAAGCAATCTGCCCTGGAATTCATGCCCATCTCCCAAGGGATCAATCATTTTTATATTTAAGCTTTCTTCAACATAGTCAAAATTTGATATTCTACTATTTTTGTGGAAGTTTTACACTTTGTACTACTATTAACATCAACAAGTCCTTCCCAAAACAAGTGGCATCATAATATTACGGGGAAGTCTCAAAACAGTTGCCCCTTTTTACTTCTGAATGTCACTCAATTTACTTACAAAAATCATTCACCCTTGACTAATTCAAAATCTGTACCAGTGTAAGGTCATTTCAAGCAAAAAACACCACCCTTGACTAATTCAGAACCTGTACCAGTGTAAGGTCATTTTGAGCAAAAAACACTAGCCAGCACTCAAGTAACTGAATCACACAGTAACACCAGTATGCAGTATATAGCATGTACTTTTCAGCATAAAGACTACTTAAAACAAAATAAAGCACTTCAATCATTCACAAATTGCAAGTCACACTTCCAGCACCATACATAGTGGGCTTAAATAGATTATGGTTTGCTAATGCTTGCATCAAAGGTTAAACATTGTGCACCAAAATAAAAAAAAATAATAAAAAGGACACACTAAGTAACATAGTATAGATATATAGTTCTAACTTCAAGCACGTGAAACAACAAATCAAGCCACAGGGATATTAACATAAATATACCATAGAGCAGTATTCAACAACAGAACAACTCCGTCTTAAGCATTTTAGCCTCATTGTAAAGCTCATTTCCAATTTCCAAATAGAAGAAAATAAAAGGACCTACACCTTGAATGACGCAAGAGTACTTTTATGGCAATTTGAGCTTATACAAGAATTAATGTCAATTGTTTGAATACTCAAACCAAAGCCTCAAACCACGGTTATACTTCAGGAACATTTTCTCCCTCCCCTATTTAATCTCTGAGTCACTTAGATTATGCCACCACCATGCAAATGTAACAAGCTTATAAACAGTAATCCCTCCATTTTTAAATACTTGCTCCACTTTTCATTTGCGGCCGTTTTTAAATACTTGCTCCATTTCCTTATTTGGAAAGCTTTTACAATATTTAATTAATTTCTCTCACTTAGTGGATCCAACATATATTTTCTCTCCTCCAATTCTCTACATTACTTTTGTCTTTTACATTTTTTATTCTTCCACCAACTCCACTACCTCCATATTTTATTACTTTTCCCAATTTCTCCTAAAACTCCGCGCATGGAAAATGGAGCAAGTATTTAAAAACGGAGGGAGTATATCTGAATGCATGTAAATTTAATTTCAGCATATAAGGCTAAATAATCTAAATTAATACAGTAGAAACATAACATAGAACCAATAGATGGATTATAAGTACAGATAAAAAAATTTAAGCATTAGTATACTATAACAATCCTCACTAAACACATTGATAGAAGCTGCTGCCTTTAATCTAATAGCAATCTGAAACTTAAAGCTTCTAAAAAAGTTGCATAATTTGTCAAATTTGCATAACTATATATATTTTAAGGTATTGAATTCCAATGAACCAACTTAAGAATCACAAGATCCACATAACTACTAAACAGACCTTCAATAACCTCTATCTTTCTCCACATAATTCTATGAGGCAAATGACCTCTTATTGGCCAATGCAGCCTGCAGCCATCTTTAAATTATTCAATTCTACAAGAGAATTCCACAATCACAGCAACCGCAATGAAAGCGCACAAATAGTATCACACATAGATTTCATCTCATGTCATAGAGCACCCAAAAAGCTAATTGAAGAAAAAAAAAAAAAAAAAAAATATATATATATATATATATATATATATATATATATATATATAAAGAAAAAAAAAATACCTCAGCAACATGTTCAAGTGTAATGGCCTCAGGAACAATGGCGGTCTTTAACTGGATTACAACAAAACCATTGCTGCCTGTCAGTGGGAAACACTCTCCAGGCTCTCCAAAGCTGGGGCTCAACATTTTAACCGCCTTATGGTGAACCCCTTTGTTCCCTACATTCAACCAACTACCTGCATTCCCAAAACCACCTAATGGTTCTGAATGACTAATAACTCTGGCACCACCACTAGCCACAGCATAATCAACACTTCCAAGCCCATCAGCAGCGTGTTTCTCGATTTCTTTCTCAACCACTTCCCTCGCCAAACCCCTAATCTCATCAAAACTCAACCCAATATTGCCACCACCATCACCTCTCTTCAGTTCATCATACAACTTCACCACATCATCTTTAGTTAACAACTCCTTCGATCGCAATTCAACCAAACCCAACTCCAAACCCTCACTCTTCTCCTCCAATTTCCTCAATTGAGCACCAATCTCTCCACTTTTATCCTCAATCTTCCTACTAACCTCTCTCCTCAAATTCCCAACCTCACTATCAATCTTCTTATCAACAACCTCCACTTGAACCTGCAGCATCTTCGTTGTCGTTTTGAGCGACGATTCAACCCCAGCAATCCTTCCCTCCACATCCGAAAACCCCATCAAACTACCCGAACCACCCATATTCCCAGAATTAGCAACCAACTTCCTAACAATCTGAACAAACCCTAATAACACAAGCAACAACAATAAATTCTTAATCAAAACACTCATTACCGTAACCCACCGGGGCTTAGGCGGCTTCTGAGGCGCAGTTGCCACCTTTCGATTCCGGGTTCGAAGAGCGGCATTTGAATGGGGCAATTGAGATGATTTCTTCTCCTTAGATCTTTCAATAACTGCTTCACCTCTAATCGAATGACTCAGATCTTTGCTACCGCTTGTCACTTTATCACCTCCTACATCACCCGCAACATTCTTGTTGCTATTGTTGTCCAAATTAAGGGAATTTGTTGCATCGTTAACTATGTCGATGCCCTGTTTCATGTCGGAAACTGCCGATGCTCTTCGGCGAGGATTCGCCGTCCCGGAAACTGTCGATGCTGACATTTAAAGGGATTAAATTCTGGAAATTTGAAGTCAACGGAGAAAAAGGGAACCCTAATTGATGAAATTGAAGTAAAATTTGGGGGAAATGGAGTGATTTGAAGAAGAAATTGAGTGAGTGACAGTAAGAGAGGAGAGAGAAAAGTAACCCTAAATGAGTTGATTGCGATTTACAAATTTGAAATGAGGGAAATGAGGGGTACGAGGATGAAAAGGAGGGAGATGGGAATTGCTTTTTCAAAGCGGTTTCAAATTGGTGATAATTAAATTAAAGTTTATTTTTTTTGTTTTTGTTTTTGTTTTTGTTTTTTTTTTCCTCTCTCTCATTTATCTATCTATCTACTCCCTCCGTCCCTGAAAGAACGACCTATTTGACCTAATTTAAGTCCAAAAAAAAATGACCCATTTGTTTTTCCCAACATCTATTCATTTCCCTTTCTTTTAAAAGTGTCAACTTGGCAATCTTGTGTATTTTAATTATATTGGTTGTTGTAAAACAATATTTTAATCTTATTGGCTAATAAAGCATCATATGGATCAGTGCATTATTACATCATGTTTATTAGGCATAGGATAAAGATAAAAACTTACATTTAGTACTTTCTCTCTAGATATTAATTGCAAATTATTGTTGATTAGTGTTTTCTCATACATTTATACTTGCAAATTAAGTTTCTTAATACCCGAAAAATCAACCCAAATGGGTCGTTATTTCGAAAGCGGATGGAGTATAAGATAATTATAGAGGCAATTCACCACAATTCCCCAAATCCCTAATCATCAACTTCTATTGATCACAACTTTTTTTAAAAACACCAATAAATACCTTACCCATCCCACTATTTTTTTAACTAGAGTGTACCCGTACCAAATGTACAGGATATATATTTAATAGAAAGATATTACAAATATCTAATAACAAAATTATATTTTAAGTACGTGAAGTTGTTTGTGATATAGTAACTTGCTCTTTTATGTGGCTGGATACTCCGTGTAGCTAGCTATTGTGGAAGTTACTTTGTCAATGTTATAAGGGTTACTCTGTCAATGTTATAGGGGTTACCCGTTCAGCGTTATAGTTGTTATCTCCGGTGTTATAAGGGTTATGTGTTTTGTGTTATAGGGGAAAATTACTCTGTTGTAGGCGTCGTTCGAAGTGCGCCTACGTTAAGCATGTGTGAATATGCTCGAAAGTTATAGGAAGTGGAGATTGACATAATACGATTAGGGACAAGGAAAGTAGGGAGCCGCCAATAACTTTTTAAGGAACTTGTAAACCGTTCACGGATTATAAAAGACAACCACGAATAAACGATAGGCAACAACGATTGACCCGTGAAGGTTACACCCCATTCATAATCCATGAGATTACTTACTCCAGGCCATATGGATCAGAACCACGAAAGGAGGATCGGGGATGATGGTACAAAGTGAGTCATGGAGTCACATTCGACCGTATTGGCCTCTACTCGATTCTTATAGTGAAAAGTGATTCCTGCAATCTCAAAGGCATGCAAACAAAATATTCAATTTGCTCCAAACTATAATTATGCTAAATTGGTTTAATATTAATGCAATACATAATTCTAAAATATTGTGATCACTTGATTTAATAACAAGATTTAAAAGGAACCTAAACCAATCGTCCAAATTATCTTATTAGGCGTGATTTTCAATTATATATTCCCTTTAAACATGCAATATGGTGATCAATAAAGATATAATAGAATAAACATTAATATTGGAAGAAATTTAACCATAATTGTTAGTCAAATCAAATATAAATTAACCTAATCATGATACTAGCAATATAAAAATAGAATAAGTAATTAAATTAATTAATTACTCACATTTCGTGCGTTCCTTTAAATTGCTACATCATGAATAAATTGTTAGTAACTTGAATAAAAATATTAATCAAATGAAAATTAAATTAGATTAAATAAAAAGTAGAGTTAATTTGTTCCAAATCCTTAGTCAATTATACCTTTCACGCCTTGGTTTAAGGACAGAACCTAATGTTAAGTATGGACTCCTTGGAGTGCTTAAGGAAAGAATGATGTAATAAGAAATATAGGTTTAAGGCTTAGGATATGAGAGAGAGAGAAGAGAATGATTTTTGGTGTAGAAGAGAGGAAGAGAGAATGATTTGGTGCCCCGAACTATAGAAAGGAGGTGGGTATATATAGGAAAAAATGAGTATAGGGAACACAGAGCCCTAAAAAGATAAAACCCTACAATAAATGCCGCGACACGGCAAAATATGCCGTGACATGGTATAATTTGGCGTGACGCGGGAAAGAAAACAGACCTAAAAGATAAAACGCATGAAGTCTGACACACGGGGAAAACACGGGATTATCCCGTGTCACGGAATATGTACCGTGACATGGCACAGGGCACCGCAACGTGGCATGGTACAGTACACCGTGTCAAGGTAAAAAAATGCGTGAGAAAAAAGCGAAAATGACACGCAAAAAGCACCGTGTCACGTTATGTGTACCGTGACATGGTACAGATTGTCGTGACACGATACTAGATGCCGTGCCATGTCATATATTGTCGTGACGCGGCAATTTTGCTGTTGTGCAGTAACTCCTGTTTTTTTACGCATATTTTAAAACTAAGATAACTTTTGATTCGTAACTCGGAATACAGAATATAATATATCATTGGGAAGATTATCAAGTTTGATTTCTAACCCAATTAGAATCAAGTCAAAATCATTTGTAGATTTTAATATATGGCCGTTTTAGTGAAAGGGTGTCGATTTTTGGCTGAGTTTAGTATTTTGCTCATATCTTCTTCATTTTAAATCAGAATTGGGCTTATGTTATATTGTTGGAAAACTCTTATCAAGCCCCATACAAATAAATAATAATTGTATCAAAATTATAGGGCCAAAAAATCATTTTCTCTCAATTTTGTGATGTGGACACGAAAAGTAGAAAGTAAGTTATGGTTTAGTGAAATGAGCTAGGAATTAGATTGGTTTATGAAATGTATTGAAAGGAAATATGGATTAAGCACTCCAAAGATTAAATACTCAATCCGACCTATAATGGCGGTGAAAGGTTGTTCATCATTGGGTTTGGTTTTGGGGAGACATTTTTAGGTGTCTACAGAAGCCCCCACTTTGACTAGGGATGTCAATGGGGCAGGGCGAGGCGGGGCGGATGTTGGCATTCCCATCCCCATACCCACCTAAAATTTTCATCCCCATCCTCGCCCCGGCGGGTACAATTCCAAAACCATCCCCGCCCCACCCTCCACTTGGATATCCACCCCCACCTAAACCCCGCCAAAGGCCCGCCTAATCCCCACCCAAGACCCATAAAACCTCCACCTTTCAAATACACAATCCTACATAATTAATATAGATTACATTAAAAAAAATCATTCTAAATATTATATATTTTTTTGTTTATAATATAAGTGTATTACAAAGTATTATAATTAATATTTTATTTTACATAAATATTTTATAAAATAGTATAAAAATATAAAATACGTTTTAAAAGATATATAAATGTGGGTATTAGGTGGGGATGGGGTGGGTACGAAGTGGGGCGGGTAAACCCTAAAATCCACCCCGCCCCATCACCATGGCGGATATGGTTTTCACCCCCATCCCCGTCCCACCACCCGCCAAACCAAGACCCCGCCCCACAGACATCCTTAACTTTGACTGAGTTTGTAGAAACGTTAGTTTTGAAAACAATAGGAAAAGTAGTCGATAGGGACGGAGAATGATTTAAAGGTTCTGCGATCCTAAATCACTCTGTATACGCCGATACTTGTAGAAAAATGTTAGTTCCATAGATAAAAGAGTAAAGGGATAGAATGTGTATCTGACACCAGTGTATCGGTGACGAATTTATTCGATGGTATCTGACACCAGTGTATTAGTGGCAAATAAATTTGGTAATTTTCTATGCTCGAAGAAATCCACCGGATGATGTTTGTTGAGATACTTTCCATGCTTGAGGAAAGTCGATAAATGATATAATCGTTGACTTCTTCGTCTTAAGAGGTGACAACGACCAACAATATTCCATGCTTGAGGAAAAACTTGTCTGATGATGAGATTACAAGTCTCCGTGTATCGAGAACCTTGCACCGTGAATCGTCTTCACTTTGGAGATGATAACTAAAATGATGATGGTTCGATTGTCCCCCAACGTGGGTTGTAGATGGTTCGCTTGTCCCCGAACGTGGGCTGCAGATGGTTCGCTTGTCCCCAAATGTGGGCTGTAAATGGTTCGCTTGTCCCCGAACGTGGGATGTAGATGGCTAGCTTGTCCTCGAACGTGGGCTATAGTTAGGGGTGTCAAACAGATCAGGTCGGGTCGGGTTCGTGTTCGGGTCAGCTGACCCCCAACCCGAACCTGATCCATTTAAGTTTTCGGGTTGAAAAACGCAACCTGAACCTAATATTTTCGGGTTCGGGTCAACCCGAAAATGACCTGATTTGACCCAAAAGTTTTTTTTAGGTTTAAATCAATTTAATTTATTCGAACCAACCTGATTAACATTATATTGTTGTGTTCATTCAATTGCATTTTTAAATTCTATAGCAAAACAACTATTAAATCCCAAACAAAATAGCCTAACTAAAGTGTTTAATGGATTACAATTTACAAACCAAGTCTACTTAATGAATTACAAAATAGATTTCAAACTATAGTGATTTTAAGTACAATCTTTAATTCTCTTTATTTTGCCCATCCTCTGTAGTGAAATGAATCTTCTCCTCTTTATTTGAGTGGCATCAATTAAAATATAACACCACCATTATTTAACACCAAAACTGATATAATTATCAACACAAACATGCAGATCATTAATTATCAAACAAGTAGACAACTTCTCACAAAAAAAAAACATTCTTAGAGAATTAAACCGCGTTAAACATGGAAAATCGTATAAATACACCAAATTACCACAAATTAGCATAATAAATTCGTATATAAACATGTAAAACAAAAATTAACACAAATAGCAACAACAAATCTACAGCCGAATAACGGAATAAAAATTCAACATAAATCAACAACGATAATTAGCATGAAATACTTTACTTTAGCAAGATTAAAACGTATTAATTAGAAACAAAAAAATAAAACAAAAAATACCTTGAATTTATGAAGGAGACCGAGAAGAAGGCGTACATTTAGAAAGAAGCGTATATTGATGAAAAGATTCAAGGATGGAAGAGGAATTTAGGGTTTGAAAAACGTTGGAAAGGATTTCAGGGATTGAAGAGAGAGAATACTCTAGAGAAGAGAGAGAATGGAGGAGAAACGCCTGATGAAAGTAAAAAGAAAGTGAGTAGTTTAGGGTTTTTGTTATTATTTGGTATTTAGGTGGGCTCATTTCATTTTTGGGCTGGGCTAAATATTTTCTGTAAGCTTTTTTATAATGATCTAAAATTTTTTTCGGGTTATGTGGGTC